AGCCCCTCCCAGCCTCCGATGCGGGTCAGCCTGGGGCGGGAGGGCACGTGCGGGTGCAAAGCCACAGAGCGAGCCATGCCACGCGGCACTGACTGGCCTCACTTGGCCGGGCATGTGTGCGGGCAGAGCCGCAGGGCATGGACTGCTCTGGGTTGGGAAGGTGAATGTGTAGTAGGGACACGGACAGAGCCATGGGGCGTGGATCACCCAGGGCTGGGAGGGCATGTGCTGAGGCAGAGCCGCAGGTCATGGATCCTTTTGAAGCTGGGAGAGTAAACGTGGAGCCCTGCAAGGGTGCACATCACCTCTGACTGAGAGGGCCCATATCTGGGAAAGTCTAGACTGCAGTCTGCACTGAGACCTGAGGCGGTCACTCCCTATCAGCTGAGGCTGTGTCTTGGTGGAGGTGCGGAGCTGGGATCAGCTCTGGCTGTGCTCACCATCCCCATGCTGGGCTGTTCCCTCTCTCCAGCCCAGGACCTCTCTGGCCAGGGGAGGAGGTGGTGGGAGAGCAGTCACAGAGTCTGTCACCCTTGGGTGCCCGCCAGATTGTGGCTGAGCATGTGGAGAGCTGCTGGAGCATAGTCGGAGCCCTCGCTGTGCTGTGGCTCTCCAGGAAGGAGATGGCTGAAACAAGGATGTTGCAGCCCTGGGTTTTCCCTGAGCCCCAACCATTGCTCCCCTCCATGAGTCATGTTTCACAGCTGCCATCGCAGAAGAGGCAGCGTAGGGCACTGGCACCAGAAGAAGCAGGCAAGGCAGCGTCCTGGGATCTGCAGGGAGGGGGAAGCAGCTGCCACAGCCTCTTCACACCCCCTTCCCCATGAGGAGACATAAGCTGGGGTGAGATGTGGGCCATGGGATTGAGAGAGGGGCCACAGTACCGCAGTGGGCTCCTGCAGAGGCTCTGGCTTGTCTCCTGTCCATACGGGAGCTCTTTCAGAGATGAGATGAATCTTGGTTCTTCTTGAAGCTTTTCCTCCCTTATGCCATGGCTTGGGGTTTTCTTGATCACTTCCCATGCCTTTGGGGCTCTTCATGTGGGTTTTACTATCACCCTGTCCTAACCCTCTGCCATCCTGAATAGCCTGGAAACGTCCCTCGTTCTCCCCACCCCCGCACAAACCTGGCTCCTGGCCTCCAGCACACCACGTCCCAATAAGTTTGGTCACAGTCACTGCCAGGCTGGCCAGGAGGGGGTTGTCTGTGCCCAACCCTAGATAGACAGCTAAGAAACCACACAGACCTGCACTCTGCAGCCCAAGGCGGAGGGAGTGTTGCTGCAGTGATGGCAATGACAGTGTGGCACCAAACTGGACCCAGGGGTTTAAGCAGAGATGGCAAGACTGCTCCTATAGTTTGCAGTGCCGCGGCCTCTGCAATGTGGCTGGCCGGAGTGCGGTGCCATGGTCTGGAGAGCCATGCTCAGAGGAGTCTTCTCCAAGTGCCTTCTTCCTCCTGGCATGTGACTCGGGACACCAGGCAGGGTGCTGCCACTCTGGGGTCCCTCCGAGCTCTGGGTACACTGCTGGGCTGGCAGGGTGCTGATGTCCTGGGGGTCCCAAGACCCCCTTTCAGTGTCTCTCCCCCCCCCCACCACCAACGGGCCACTAAATGCCTCCATCCTGTTCCCAGCGGGCGAATCATATCACCCAAGTGGAAGACGTTCAAGGGCCTGAAACTCCTACAGCGGGACAAGATCCGGCTGAACAACGCTATCTGGAGGGCTTGGCATTTGCAGTGTGAGTGGGGCCACGGGCACTGCTGCGGGCCCTGCCACGGGCCAGCCTTCCCCGTCCCCTCCCTTTCCTTCCTTCCTGGCCCTCAAGCTTGGTAAGGTCAGAGTCCGGCACTCTGCCGTTTGATTGCAGGCTGGCGCTATAATTAGTTCAAGAGACCATAATCCTTATTAATTAAGCAAATCCTTATTGATTAAGCAACAAGCTACTAAGAAACTAATATATCAAGTAATCAATAACCTAGCTAATTAACAAGCACATAGCATTATTAATTTAAAATTATGTCATTTTGGATACTAGTAAACAAACAGCAAAGCTACTAATTACTGCTCTTAATCTTATGAATCCCACATGACTGCTACTGAATTACGACTCTTATTACTCTTCTGCCCCCAACACTTGGTATTAAGGTGCAAATCTATCCCTCTTTGCTCTGTCTTCCCACCGTGAGTCTTTTGGACACAGGCCCAATGGAGAGTCCTGTGGGCTGTCCAGATGGTCCCCCTGGCATCACGAGGGGCTTGGGGGTGGCAGCGCCCACCAGACTTGGATCCACAGGTCAGCCTTACCCCTGTCAGCAGCCACCCACACTCGTACTCTCAGAAGATTTCCCCCCTGTGGTGTCCTTTACCTGATTTTTATACCTCATTCTCCATTTTTTCCATTTCTGGGCCCACCTTTTTGCTGCCCTTGCACCTTCCCTTCTCTGCCCAGAGAACTTTACTTTTTCTCCCTTGGTTCCCATTCTGCTACATCCATACCCCAGTGAGGTGTTTCTGATATTGTTACCTAGGAAATCTCAGGCTTATATGGGTTTACTGATATGGTTACTTAGATATGGGTGGCCTTGCTAGGCTCTTGCCCAAAGCTCCCCTACCAGAGCAGTATGTTTTTTGTATGGCTTCCACAGCATCCTTGCCCATGACCTGTTCTTTGGATGGTCTCCTGGTTCCTTCTGGAGGCCTTTGCTAGTTATGGGGCCTCTGGCTGCTGGCATGTTGCCTCTGTGGGATGAGGCGACTTTTTCTTACTGCCTTCCAGCACCTACGTGTGGGCTGGAGCCCCTGAGGTCTTCCCCAGGAGACAGAGGGTTCCTCGTCCCCTTTCTCTCAGGCTCTGGAGAACATTGGTGCCTGCCAGAGTGGCATGGCTGGGACATGGGAGAGGATGGCAGCAAAATCAGCTCTGGTCCTTTGTCCCCACAGATGTGGAGAGAAGGAAAAACCTTGCGTGCAATTTTGTGACGCCACTGGAGGCTGGTGATGGGGAAGAGCACTGTAAGCCAGAGGTGAGCTTCTGGGGCCCCTGCTAGCCCCATACCCTCAAATTCTGGCCCGAATGACAGCTCCCATGGTGCCCACCGCACCAGGAGCCGCTCGCTGGGAGGGACAGAGCATTGCCTAATGCAGTGTAGTGGTATGCTCAACCCGCGGCATCCTCAGCAGCGTTGCTGGTCTGGTGAGTGGCAGTGCCCACCAGACACCTGAGGATGCTGCATGTCCTTGTGCTGCAGGCTGGGGTAATGGAGGGCAAGAACTGGAAGCGCCACATCCAGGCTGTCACCCGGGAGTACCACAAGTGGAGGATATACTCATGCACCCAGGTAAGGACATGCATGGCCGTGGAGACATATAGACATGCAGGTGCACAGACAGGCCCTGTGCATGTGCCTCCCCCTCTGCTGCCGCCCTCCAACCCACAAGGCACCGATACCCCTGCCCAGGGCTGGCAGTGCCACCTAGACCAACTGCCTGTTGGCATCCTCCAGCTGGCACCCCTGCCCCCCCAGAGCAGAGGGCACCAAGCCAGCGGGGCCTGTGGTCACCTTCAGCCTGTCTTTCCAGCCCTGCTGGGTGCCACCAACCCCTTCTGTCTCTGAAGTTGCCTTGGAGTAGGAGCAGACTGGGTCAGGCAGCTGGGAAGGGGTGGCAGGGGGCACTGCCTGCTCTGTGCCAGCTGTGTGTGTGTGGGGGGGACATTGAAATGGGACTTGGACTTGCATCATGGCTCCTGTTTGATTTTTCTCCAGGTTCAGAAGATGAAAGATGAACTGGCAGCCTCACCCTGCCAGGTGCCAGCACCATGCCCACACCCGTGCCCGCTGCCCCCACCATGCTCAAGGAGAGCCAAAGGGCTCCCCTTTCCCATCTAGGCCAGTCTCACTGGCCTTACGGGGAGCCCCAGCAGTGCTGGCTCACCAGCTCCCCTCACCCCTTCTGTGCATGGCAGGGGGTGCCCAATGCCCAGCAGGGGCCGGTGCCCAGTGGCGAGGCAGAGGGCAGCTGTCCCATGGAGCTTGACCCCCTGCACGACCTGGAAATGCTCCTTGCGGACCTGGCCGACACCATCTTCTACAGCCGCCACCGCAGTTCCTGCCTCTGCACCTGCTGGAGGCACCACGGCAGTCCCTGCCCCTGCACCCCAGCAGTGCCTGACTCCGTGCCGCTGCGCAGCTCACCAGGACAACGCGGACATGATCCAGCCCACCCTTGGCCAGCTGCATCCCAACTTTGGCGAGGATTTCATGGACACCCTGGACCCCCTCAGCAGTGAGTGCTGCTGGGTGCTGGCCCACAGCCCTATGGCCCCTCTCCTGACCCCCTCTCCATCCTATATGCTTTCAGCCTGCTGTGGGGCAGCCCACGGCCCCCAGCTGTCCCCTCTCTGTCTCGCTCGCTGTGGGGCAAAGCTCTGCTGCTCTCCTAAGCTTTCCCGCCCCACAAGCTCTCCTCACAGCTGTGGCTCCCCTTTGGGGGCACCCCAGTGCCTATCACCCTCGCGCTCTCCCTACGGTAATGACCAGTCCTTCCCCCTGGCATAGGAAAGGGCAAGACAGGCACAAGGTGAGCAGCCCCGCTGCCGTTTGGGGCCAGGCTCTGGTCGCTGGCTCTGCCTGGCGTTTTGTGCTGGGCATCAGAGCCAGCAACGACGTGTGCCACAGAACTGCCCACCCTGCCAGGGCCTTGTAGGGGCCGGGGAAGCCAAGGTGCCTACCCTGAAGCTCTGTCTCTCTCTGTCTCTGGCTGTGCCTGCTTGCCCACCGGGACCCCAGGGAGCCTGGCCATCCCTGTCCTGGGTAGCGTCACCTCCAGCCACCAACTTCTCACCCGCTTCTCTTCTGTCATCTCTGGCTCCCCAAAACTCCCGGCCGTGTCCATGCTGGCTGCCAGGAAAGGTACCACACGGGCACTGCTTGCCGCTCCCCAAGGCACCCGTAGCCTCTTCCACACAAACACCCCCTGCCCCTTCTGCGCAGCACCCATAGCCCCTTTTGCACGAATGCCCCTTGCCCCCAGCAGGCGTCAACCGCCCCATGCCTATGCTGGGGAGGGGGGACTACAGCTCCCAGGGTGTCCTGCTCCACCAGTGGTGTGGTGGTGCATGGGTGGGGGAGCAACGCTGCTGGGAAAAGGAGTCTCCCTGAGCTGCTTCTGGCTCCGCCCCCCGGCCCCGCCCTGTATTAACCCCGCCTTCTGTCTCGCCCCCACAGATTTCTTCGCTGCCGGCCGCCCCCCGCCAGCGCCGCTGGTGAGTCCCTGGCCCCGG